ATTCCTGGGGGGTTGGAGTCGTGCCTAGCACATGTGAGGCACTGGGTTCGATCCTCAGCACCACATAAAAATAAATAAATAAAATAAAGGTATTGTGTCCATCTACATCTAAAAAAATTTTTTTTAAGAAAGAATATTCCTAGGTTGGCTTATTATTAATTGTGAGCAGTAATTTTCTAAAATTCAACTTCCTATTTGATAAATGAATAAAATAAACTACTTTTTTTCATATTTTCAGTAGAAAATGTTTAAAAATGAAGCAAACAAAATGTAATTAAAATGTATTCAATGAAATATGGTAATTTTCACATTTTATTTCTTTTAATACTGTTTCTTAAATATATTCAGCCTCTATATTTTCCTTGCATCGTCTGGCAAGTCTGTGACTCAGATCTTGTTTATTATTCCTTTTTCTCTTTAAACAGATGACATGGCATCTTATGCCTGTCTGGCAGAGGGAGGGGGCATGTGCCAACTGGGTTGTGTTTGAGAGGACTGTGGGTCTTCTGATGGAGAATGTTGGCTGCCTCATTGATTGTACCAATAAAAGCTAGGTTACTCTACAAATGTGCCAGTGGGGGAGAGTAATGAAGACATTATCCAGCCAACAAATAATACTCTACTTCTTCCTCCTAACAGAGATGAGAGAACAAAAGTCTGTTATAGGGTACAGTGGCACACCTGCAATCCCAGTGACTCAGGAGGCTGAGGCAGGAGGACCACAAGTTTGAGGCCAGCCTCAGTAACTTAGTGAGGCCCTCAGCAACTTAGCAAGACCGTCTCTCAAAATTAAAAAATCAAAAGGCCTGGGGATGTAGCTTAGTGGTAAAGTGCCCCTGGTTCAATATCAGTACCTCTTCACCCCCACAAAAAATTGTTATGACTAATTTTACCCTAAACAAATAGTTTATACAAAACCAAAGTGACCTACTCACAGTTCTCCACCACATTCTTCTTCTCTAACTCATGGATTGTGTGGTAATAGCATTTTGCATCATCCCAAGATGGTCTGACTTCCTTCTTAGGAACTGCCAAAGTTCCTTGCCCTTGCTCCATGGCTTCCCAGAGAGAAATCTGGTCTGTCTGGTTCTCAGGTCTAACAGTGTCTGGCACATAGGATATACTTAATAAACATGAGTGCATGAGTTGTTTGAAACCTAAAGCAGGGTTCTTATCTTCTGTGTCTCTTTTCCTCATCTATGAAAAAGTCTAAGGTTTATAGTGACGACTGCATGAGTCAAGGGTCCCACATCCCTCCAATCTGATTGTGATTTCCTAAAGCCAAGAATTATGTAATATTTCTCTATCTCAATGTTAGTGCCTAGCTGTGCTTTTTTTCCTTAAATTATTTAACGAATACTTTGCATCAGGCCCTCTTCTAAAAACTTTATCATTAGGCAGGGTGGTGCACACCTGTAATCTCAGCTATTTGGCAGGCTGAGGCAGGAGGGTCACATTATCAAGGCCAATCTGGGAAATTTAGTAAACAGCTGTCTCAAAATAAAAATGGGCTGGGGATGTAACTTAGTGGTAGAGCACCCCTGGTTCAAGCCCCAGTACCTAAAAAAAAAAAAAAAAAAAAAAAGTACTTCACACACTGTGCCTTACTATACTGCCTCACCTTACCAATGATTGTTGAACAATGAAGAGGAAATTTGGCATCTAAAGAGAAAATTGGAAGGGTAGAATATTTATATAAAATAAATCCAAATGATTATTATTTTTCTTGCTATTCCATACATAGTTGATATAGGACAAATGTTGTCACTGTATAAATGTAGTGATAAAACCTAGGCTGATTTGAATACTTGAAAAGGATTTTGCTTCTTGGCTAAAAATAAATAAAACTATCAAATTGGTGAGTCACTTTAAGTACTCAAAAATAATTTCAATTTCCATATGTGACTTAAGTCCTCAGTAGTAAATTATACAAACTCACAACTGGTTAGAAGTTCAAAATTAGGTGGGTGGTACTTAGGAGTGTGAGGCAGGAGGATTGCAAGTTTGAGGCCAGCCTTAGCAACTTGGCAAGACCCTGTCTCGAAATTTAAAAAATAAATAAATAAAAAGGTCTGAGGACATAACTTAGTGATACAGCATTCCTGGGTTCAGTCCCTTCCCAGTAATGAAAAAAAAGTTCAAAATTTAGTTATTTTGCTAGACAATTATATTAAGTTTGCTAGAATTGCTGTAACGAAGTACCACAAACTATATGGCTTAAATAACAAGAATTTATTGTTTCACAGTTATGGAGGTTGGAAGTCCAAGATCATGGTGTTAGTAAAGTTGGCTGTGAGGGAAGGATCTGTTCCAGGCCACTGTGGATGACCAATCTGTGTTTTCACTTCATTTTTCCTGTGTGTGGGTCTATCTCTGTTTCCAAATTTCCCTCTTTTTATTTTTCATAGTACTGGGGATTGAACCCAGGGATGCTATACTTTAGAGCTAGATCCCAGCCCTTTTTATGTTATTTTAAAATTTTAAGACAGGATCTCACTAAGTTGCCCAGACTGGCCTTGAACTTGTGATCCTCCTGTCTCAGCCTCTTGAGAAACTGGAATTATAGGTGTGTGCTACCACTCTTGGCCTCCCCTTTTTCTTATAAGGACATTAATTATACTAGGTAGTAATTTTAATAAGATCACATTCTGAGCAAGTGGGCATCAGGACTCCAATATACTCTATCTTCTTTGGGGGAGGGTGTACAATTGTACCCATAATAACAGAAGACATGGGGGAGGGTAAGATTCTGGGTCTGAATTCTAGCTCTTCTTTTATTAACTGTAAGACCTTGCTGTTTCTTATTTCCTTCCTTTAAATGAAGATAAGATAGGTAGTATCTTCCTCATGCTGTTATGAGGATTAAATGAATTTGTCCAGGTAACACTTAGAATTCTTAGTGACAGAATACATGTGAAATATTCATTCTTTTTAAAAAGAGTCATCAAATATCTACCATGATCCAGGTATTGTTTGAGTTGTTTGAAATACAGAAGCAAAGAAAATAGACAAAAATATCTACCTTCATGCAGCTTTTAAACTGGTAGAGAAAGAAAGACAATAAAAAAGTGAGAACACTTAGAATATCAGCCAATGGAAGTGCTGTGGAGAAAAATCCAGCAAGATAAGATCTAGAGACCATTGGGTGTTGCAATTTGGGATTAGGGGTACAATTTGAGCAAAAAAAAAAAATAATAATAATGGGAGGAGACAGTGAAATAGTTTTCTGCAGAAAGTTTTCTTCTTGTTGTTTTAGATAGAGGAGGGTTTCTGCACCTCAACACTCTTTAAAAAAATATTTTTAGTTATAGATGGACATAATACCTTTATTTTATTTGTTTTTTAAATGTGGTACTGAGGATCAAACCCAGCACCTCACTTGTGCTAGGCAAGTGCTCTACCACTGAGCCACAACCCCAGCCCACCTTAACACTCTTGATGTTTGGGCCTGGATAATTCTTTGTTGTGGGGCTGCCTTGTGCATTGTAGGATGTTTAACAGTATTTTTGGTTTCTATACACTAGATGTTAGCAGTCTTCCTCTCTGCGTCCCCCAGCTGTGACAGTCTGATCACAAAATGTCTCTGGACATCACCACATAGAGGGCAAATCAAATTACTCCTAGTTGAGAACCAGTAAGAGAGAAGAAAAGTTAAAGCCCAGAGACTGGAGCTTGTTAGAAGCAAAGCAAGGAGGCAGGCAGTGTGTGTGGGGGAATCAGAAAGGGGAGGGATGAAGCACATCACCTGTGACCTGGAGACCACTCTTTAGACAGATGGGAAACCACTGGGGGTTATAAACAAAATCACAATGTGACCTGTATTAAAAAAAAAAAAAATCCCTCTGCCTGCCTGATTGAGAATTAACTACAGGTTAAAAGACAGAATGGACAGGAGGATTGAGAGATTATCATAATAATGCCATTGATTGTCTATATATTTAATTTTTTCATTGATTTTCCTGGTTGTTGATGGGGCAGCTAAGAAAGCTTAACTAAGATGCCCTGGGGAAAAAAAGGCAGTATGGTAATTAAGCCAATTTGAAAGCAAAGGGTTTTATAGGACAAAGAGGGAATATGTTGGGGGGCAGTTTGTGCACAGAGCCTTGAATACTGAGAAATTGGAGCTCTAGTCTGTCAGTAACAGGGAGTCTTTGAGCTTGTGCAATGGGAAACTCAGCATCAGTGTGCAGAATAGAAGTCAGAATAATTTCAAAAGGTATATCCTGAAACAATATGGGTGAGAGGCCCCAAGAGCTGAGATGTGGGTAGAATAAGAATATGGCACCACACCATGAAGAAAGCAAAGGAGGTCCTAAGGTTTAGACCTTACAATCTTTTTATTCTTCAGGGTAATTGTGTTTGTAAGAGGTACAGACTTTTGTTTCCACTGAGAGGGTTTGTAATCATTTCCAGGATATCGGATATCAAGCCAAAGCAAGCCCACCAAGAGGTTTCAGAAGTGTAGTACTTGGGAAAGGGATGCCTTAGAGGAGAATGTGTTAGCTTTCACCAAAGGTCTTTTCAAGCAGACTGTCAATTGTAGGTGAGAAAACTGTGCCGAATCCTGGCATAAGGAGAGAACAGGCCTACATCCAGAGTTCTTTCAGGATGGTCTTACATTTCCATTTCTAAATTAAAAATACCTTAGCAGGTTTAGCAGGGCGGTGTAGGTACACCAAACCAGTCCCACTAAATCACAGGCAGGCTCAACAAGGACCTCTGCCTCCTTTAGGTCTTTTTGTACTAACCGGATTTCAGAAATGAACCCACAAAAGACACAAAATACGCCTCCTTTCCCTCACTCGTTTTATGCCCAGTTGGTTTAAGGCTGTAACAGCTGGGTTCCACCGGGAAAGATGCTGGCCTGGCGTGTCCAGGGCGTGGCGCTTGCGGTCGAGAGCGGGGCGGAGGAGGGAGAGGGGCCGTACCGGCCGGGCGGGGCGAGCAGGGCACGCGCCCGGAGACGCGTTTACGCGCAGCGGTTCCCCGCCCGCCGCCGCCCCCGCCCCAGTCTGCTTCGTTCTGCGTCCACCCGGCACTCGGAGCAACCCCGGCGGCTGCGCGACAGTCCCCGCCATGTCTGCAGCCATGAGGGAGAGGTTCGATCGGTTCTTGCATGAGAAGAATTGCATGACCGACCTCCTAGCCAAGTTGGAGGCCAAGACCGGCGTGAACCGGAGCTTCATAGCGCTCGGTGGGTGGTTGGGCCCTCCGAGGGTCGCTGCTTCTGGCCGGGCACTGAACTCGCCCTGCACCAGCTGCTGGGAAAAGACGCAGGGCGAGTGCTCCTCCAAGGCAGACGGGGCGAGCAGCATCCTTGGGGACCGAGCTGGTCTAGAAAGCACTGGGCAGCCCGGGCTGCGGGGTCGTGGGCCTTTGCCTGCGGACCAGGTAGCGGGGCAGGAAGGGTGGCGTCTGTTCCCGGGGAGCGGGAAAGGGCCAGCGCTGACGTGTCTGTCCCCGCGGCTGGGCGAGTGTCTCGGTGGACCTGCGCGGGTTTCGCGCCGAGCGCCGGGGCCCTGCGAGCTGGCTCGTTATGGAAGTAAATGGTAGTGTCCAGACCTTAACCAGAGCTCCGCGGTAGAGGCAGTCTCCGGTTTGGGAGGGCGGGACCGCGAGCAGGTGAGGGAATCCCAGTTTCTCGACCCTCGGCCGAGCGAGCTTCTCGCTGCTGCGCAGCGCGGCGGGGCTCCAGCAGGACGGCCGGCGGGGTGCTTCCCCGGGCCCTCTCGGGCCCCCGGGGTGGGTACTGGGAGAGGCGGGAACAACCCGAGGGAGGGAGGAAAGGCACGGAGGTGGGGGTTGCCCGGGATCCCTAGAACCGAGGCAGCGCCCCACGGAGGCGCAGGCCCAACCTTCGTGTGGTTTGTTTTTCTCGTTTAATCGAGTGTGGAGCCAAACGCCTAGAATAGGCCAAGTCCCGTGGTTTGGACAGGGGCTGCACCGCTTGAACGCGCCTCTTGCCATCCGACCCACTTCTCTTATGTCTCCCTCAAGGTGTCATCGGGCTAGTGGCCTTGTACCTGGTGTTCGGTTATGGAGCCTCTCTCCTCTGCAACCTGATAGGATTTGGCTACCCAGCTTATGTCTCGTAAGTGGCTCACCCTTGCAAACATCCCTTCCTGTCCACTTCCCTCTCTCCATTTAAGACTGCTGTAGTAGAATACCTATATATCTCTGTCTGTCTATCCCCATTTTCCAAGAGAGCAGTAAAAAAGTGCCAGAGGTAGTACCTACTGCTTAAGGTTACACATTTTGGAGCCTTAACTTGGTTCTTGATCAGGAAACTATAGGAAAGGTATTTTTCATCAGGTTATACTGGGAGGGTGTATACACTCTCATATGCATGTACAAATGGGTGTGTTAGATAGATCTCAGACATCCTACTTTTTCTAATGGGGAGATCGAAACAGGTATAGGGAGCTGATTGCTTTTCCCCAACAATCATTTTCATGGACATTTCACCACATGTCTATGTAAATAGACTGCAAAACCCATCAATTAGGACTTTCTTCATAGAGAATTATTAATTCAGACAAGAGGGAGAATTTTAACTTTTTGATTTTATAAAAGGCCAGTATTACCAGTAAACTTGGGAAATGCTTAATCTAACAAACCTTATAAAATGCATCCATAATGTAACTCCTTGATTGTATAAATGACTCATTTTTGTAATTAAACTAAATTAAAAATTAATCTTATAAGGTTGGGAACTAATGAGGTTTTTATTTTATAATGTGTTTATTTTGAAAATGCTCTACATTTTATTATCGCCACTTATTCAAATAGGAATTATTCCTCTCCACAAATGCATTTTGTTTTATTCTGGAAGAAAGCTGGTTGGCTTTTATCTTCATTCAGCTGATTTCTGGAACTTTTCCCTATCTGTAGGGATAAAAGTAAAGAGAAAAAATTTTCAGCTGAGAAGCTGAGACAGATAACACATTGTTATACATTGTGTCTATTGTTGGTCAGGCTAGAATTTAATATATGACTAGAAGGGAGGAAACATTTTAGAAATAGGTCTGATTTGAACTAATAAACTGCAGTTGCATAAGTAGTTGTTAGTGTATTAGACTAGTATAGACAATTAGTCATATGGTAGAAACTCTAGCTTACTTTCAGGACACTGCCTGCTGGTAAAACTAGAGATCCTTAATTTTTAAATTGAGAAGAGCTTTTATCCCCTCCAGCATTATCTACTAATGCACAAACCAGGTTTTCCACATATACTAAGAGTTCCTGAAATCAGATAAGGAAAACTGGTTTTGCTTTCAATTAGGTAAAAGATACAATAATAACAATTTTCCTTAAAAGTTAATCTCCTGTTAGATGGTGTATTGAAAGTGTGTAGGCAACTGATTCAAAATGGCTTGCACGTTGCTATGACTGTGTAACAGACAAAATAATCCTGTAGTGTACTCCTTTACCACCTTCTTTTTGTTTGTGCTACATGTAGTTCTTCTGGTTTTATTTTTTAGTACTGGGGATTGAACTCAGTAGCACTCTACCACTGAGTTACATCCCCAGCCCTTTTTATTTTGAGACAGGGTCTCACTAAGTTGCTTAGAACCTTGCTAAATTGCTGAGGCTGTCCTCGAATTTTATCCTCTTGCCTCAGCCTCCTGAGTGGCTGGAATTATAGGCTTCAGCCATCAAGCCTGACTTTACTTGCAGTTCTTTTAAAAAAGATTTTGAAGCATTGTCAGGTGTGTGCTTTAGATGTTATGGATCACATGTGGAACAAATCTTGAGTGGCAGTTTAGTAACTGCCTTTTTGTTTGATATTCAACGAGCAAAGAATGTGAACTTTTAAAAATACTAAATAACATAATAAATTTTTTTCCCTATATCAGTGCCATTTGGTACCTAATTATGTGAGAAACATTAGTTTCTCTTTTGGTGTGATTAGTTTATCTGTGTGAGCTGTAGAAAAATAAAAAATCTCTATATGGGACATGTGTATTTGTGGATGTGTGGAAGTTGATGTGACTGAAAATGTGGACAGAACTTGAATATATTTTTCTGTGGAAGTGAATTAATTCTAGTAGGGGCTATTTTCAGGCATATTTCAAAGTGTTTTTAAGTCAGCCAATTTCTGCTTCATAATTTCTAGTAATTTCTTCATTAATTTTCTACAGAATCCATTCCATATTGTTGGCTCTTTTTACTTAGAAGAAGCTAAATGTTTTTGTCTTTTGCTAGAAATTTGTGAAATAGTAGAGCTACTCATTTCTGAGTAATGCAGGAAAGTAAATTTTACATATTTTAGAATTCTACTGACCTAGTATATGTACTTTATTTTCTTTTCAATTTGAGTATTCTGAGACAAAATTATGTTTCTAATATATCTTAATAGGAATTGGAGAAATATTAAAAATCTGAGTTCAGTGGCGCAGGCCCATAATCCCAAGGACTTGGGAGGCTGTGGCAGGAAGATCACAAGTTCTAAGCCAGCCTCAGCAACTTAGTGAGACCCTGTCTCAAAATTTAAAAAATGCTGGGGTTGTGGCTCAATGATAGAATGTCCCTGGGTTCAGTACTCCGTATTGGGGGGGGGGGACATAGTAAAGGGAACTTAGTAATTTAAGCAAATTCAGGGAAAAAAAAAAAAAAAATATATATATATATATATATTTTTTTTTTTTTTAAGAGAGAATTTTTAAAAAATATTTATTTTTTAGTTTTCGGTGGACACAACATCTTTATTTATTTTTTTATTTTTATGTGGTGCTGAGGATCGAATCCAGCGCCCCGCACATGCCAGGCGAGTGCGTTACCACTTGAGCCACATCCCCAGCCCAGGAAATTATATTTAATGAGTATTTTTTGATTGTTATTCATGAATGCCTGAATCATAACCCCTATAGATTCTTGTATCATTGGTCTGAGGTATGTCCTAAGTTTTGGGGGTTTTAAAAGTTCCTCAAGCTTTTATAATTTTTAAAGCATTCTAATATTCAGTCAATGTTGAGAGCCCCTGGCATACAGTGGTGGTAATAACCTGTGCTTTTTGCATGTGAAGAGGAATGGCTTACTGACCCTGTGAATAATCCAGAAGCCTACCTGGAATTCTTTTGTGCAGGAGACTCAAGGAAAACTGGGAGTATATGCACAATAAGAGTACTCCTAGTTAGTAAATTTTCAGGCCGTTAGAATCATTATAAGTAGTTCTATTCGTTGCTTGTTGCTTAATCAGTATGATTGTATAATTGTCCAGAAGAAAGAAAGTCCTTGAAAATGGTGGTTTCTAGTAGCACTCAAATCATTGATCTTAAAACATGACCTGTAATCACTTTCTTAGTCTAGTTGGGCTACTCTAACAAAATACCTTAGTTTGGGTGACTTTAAAAAAAAAATTTTTTTTTTAATTATAGATGGCTACAATACTTTTATTTTATTTATTTATTTATTTTTATGTGGTGCTGAGGATCAAATCCAGTGCCTCACATGTACTAGGCAAATGCTCTACCTCTGAGTTACACCCCAGCCCCAATCTGGGTAATTTTTAAACAACCGAAATTATTTGCTCACTATTCTGTAGGCTGGGAAGTCAAGACCCATGCCCAGCTGATTTGGTATCTGTTGAGGGCTTGTTTCCTGTTTCAAAGATGACATTTTCTTGCTGCATCCTCACATGGCAGAAGTGGCAAATAGTTCCTTTTATAATGGCACTAATCTCATGGGGGCTCAGCCCTCATGACTTAATCACCTCCTAACAGGCCCATTTCTTCATATGAACACATTGGGTGTTGGATTCCAACATATGAATTGAGAGAGAAAACAACATTCAGACCTTAGCAGTTATCTTTACTCTAATTATATTCTCCGTGCTTTTCATAATTCTCATTATGCTGCCCAGCCAGTTATTTTTGTTCTTTTTTTCATTTTAATTTTTTGATGCTAGGAATTGAATCCGGGAGTGCTTTACCACTAGCTACATCCCTAGTCCTTTTTATTTTTTTGAGACAGGGTCTTACTAAGTTGCTGAGGGTCTCACTAAATTGCTGAGGCTTGTCCTTGAACTTGTGATCCTCCTGCCTGAGCCTCCTGAGTTGCTGGGATTATAGGCATGTGCCACTATACCCAGTTATTTTAAAAAATACAGTTTATTTATTTAACAAATATCAAATGCTAGCACTGTAGTAATAGCACTTCAGATGTGGCAGGGAGTGTGCTTTTTCTCTCTCTCTCTTTTTTTTTTTTTTGGTGGTGGTGGGGATTGCACTCAAATTTTTGTACATGCAAGGCAAGTGCTCTACTACTGAGCTACAGGTTCCCAGCCTCTGTCTTGACAATGTGGTAAGCCCCTCAAAGAAAATGAATAGGGAGTATTGTGGTAGAGGATGACAGGAAGACTCTCTTTGGATAGTTATGTGAGGTACTGTTTGAGTCTTAAAGGGGCCAGCTAAGGGGAGAGCCAGGCAGAGGAAGTGAAATGGGCCAGGCCCTGAGGCAGCAGGTCTATGACTGGGAAGAGTGGGGAGGGAGGTGTCATGGAGATATAGGTGTACCAGTAGGGAGGGCTGGGACAGAGAACCAGGTGTAGCACATTTCATTCCAGATGGTTGTACGGAATTTGCATTTTTCTTGATTGCCTCAGATAGGTATTAAACAGGAGGTAATGTGACATGATTTACATTTTAGGTAAGGTAAAATGTAAGTGACTGCTATAATTTCTGTAAGGAGTGGGTAATCCTGTCAAACTAATTTTTTTTTTTTTTTAAGTGCAAGGGATTGAACCCAGAGCTTCATGCTTGTTGGCATGTTGGGGGCGTAGCACTGAGCTACTCCCCCAGCCCTATCCTGTTAAATTCTTGCCAGAAGTGTATTTCCTTCTTTCCTTACCTTTCATCTTTTATTCTTGCTGTTTCTTCTCTTTGGACCATCATAGGGAGCAGTACACAGATTGTTTACAATGGTTGATACTGGGCCCAGAGCCTGCAGAAATGAAATTCAGAAAAGCTGATTTGACTTCCTAACTTCTCATCACTCACCCTCATGGGTGAGACTCAGGTGTACCCAGCTCCAGGGCAGTCCTCACTCAATATTGGAGCAGGTAGACAGTTAAAGGCTAGTTCAGTGATCACT